GCCGCCGCCGGGGTGGGGGGGGGCAGCGGTTTATGGGGGTAAAAAGCGGAGGGGAGAAGGGCGGGAGGTCGGGGCGGGCCGGGGGCGGCGGGCGGGGGGCCCGCGGGCTGCACTTACTGCGGCGGCCGCGCTAGCGCGTCTCCCGCGGGGCGCTGCCGGACTGCGGCGCGGCGGGAGCTGCAGGAGGAACTGCGGGTGTCGCCATCTTGACGCGCCGCCGCCCCCGGCGCAGCGCGCCCGGCCCCTGCATCAGTGATGAGGCCGGAGGCAGCGCGGGCCGCGCCGCGCCGGGAGCCGCCCCGCGCCCCCGCGCCAGGGAGCCCCGGCGGGAACAGGGAGACCCCGGCAGGCCAGGGAGACCCCACGGGCTCAGGGAGCCCCGGCGGGAACAGGGAGACCCAGTGGGAACAGGGAGACCCCGGCAGGCCAGGGAGACCCCACGGGCTCAGGGAGCCCCGGTGGGCCAGGGAGACCCAGTGGGAACAGGGAGACCCCGGCGGGACCAGGGAGCCCTGGTGGGAACAGGGAGACCCCAGCGGGAACAGGGAGACCCCAGCGGGAACAGGGAGACCCCCAGCAGGGCCAGGGAGACCCAACGGGCTCAGGGAGCCACGGTGGGAACAGGGAGACCCCCAGCAGGTCCAGGGAGACCCCACAGGCCCAGGCAGACCCCGGCGAGACCAGGGAGCCGCTCTGTGATAAGGGAACCCCTGCCGGGCTCAGAGAACCCCCAGTGGGCCCCGGGAGCCACCCCGGGATGAGGGAGCCACCTCAGGCCCCCCTCCAGGCCCAGGGAGCCACCCCAGGCAAGGGAACCCCCACCGGGCCCCRGGAGCTCCCGCTGAGTCAAGGGAGCCGTCCCACATCCCCTGGCACAAGGGAGCCCCCGCCGGGTGACACCCCGCACAGCCCCCGGATCGCACTGGGGCCCCTCGCCCAGCTCCCCAACAAGACCCCTCGTGTGTCCCCGCCACCCCCTGCAGCCTCTCCCTCATTCTGCCTCGCGCCACGGATCAGCTCCTCSTTCCCCCCTTGGTGTTCCACGGGACACCCTCCGCATTGGGGCGGGGGTTGTGGGGGGTGGCATCACTTTGGGCATTCAGGATGCCATCAACAACTTGGAGGCAACAAACTATCCGCTGACCTACACTAAAGTAGCGTTGTGGTGTTTGGCACCTTTATAAGAGGTTTCCTTTCCGCCATCAGCCCGTCTGCACAAATCCCTGCTCCTACTCAGCACCGGTTCTGGCTCCTTTCAGCAGAGCATTATTAGTTTCCAGCATAACTTAAGTCCCAGAAAGTTCAGTCGAAGTGCGGGATGGCAACGGGGAGCAAAATCCTTCAGGCTGGGCTCTCCCTCCTGCGCGGCTGCGCGGCCAGGCGCATCTGGCTGCTCCCATCACACGCGCGGATTGCTGTTCTCCAGGGGAGCAGTAAGAACACTAATACCCGATCCAGGTTGCAAGGGCAGGTGCAACTTCAGAGAGCCGGGCTACTTCAAGGCCAAACCCAAAGCAGTTGCGTGCACATTCAATAAGTTGCTGCTGAAAGATTTGAGAAAGCTGAGGTCCAAACTGGTCTTGCTGAAGCTCGGTTCTCACTAAGGCTTATGTTTCTAAAGGGATGCAAAACAAACACTGAGACATAAGGGGAAAAAAAGCCTGCTGATAATAAACTGCCAGGAAACAAAACAGAATCTCCCAAACAGGGGGTTTTGGGGAGTTCAAACAGCAGAGCCAAGTCTGCTACAGAGCATGGCCGCGATAGGGACGGCCGCCCRCAGCATCGCGATAAGTCCCCAGTGCGGGCAGCGAGGCCGGGGCGCAGCGTTGCTCCCAACGGGGCAGCCAACGCACCGAAAATACATCCTGCAAGGACACCCCAGGGCCCCTGGGTGTTGTCACAGCCTGCATGAGGTAGCTCCGAGCACGTGGCTTGAAGAAGTAAGTAGGTCAATGCTCATCTGTCGAACGGTCATAACAAGAAGTACAAAAGGATCCTAATTGAGCAGGTTCCAAAGGCCTCCCAGGGACTGCGCTGCAGATGATGCCCACGCAGGCTCACAGTTCTGCAGTTCAGCTGTCGTTATCGCACGGCCCGGCCACGTGCAGGCACCTGCGAGGCACACAGGCTACCTGCGCTTCCCTTAGAGCCCCAGGGTGCACTCAGAGCCTTGCTTTTCACAAGCCCCGCACAAGCAAACCCAGCTGGAAGGACCAAGTGCCCCCAGCAGGCAGTTCCAYGTGGATAGCTAGGGAGATGGCTCTAGCCTAGGCGCCACCTGCTAGCTCAGCTCCTTCACAAGGCAAGCGCGCCACGCTCTTAACCAGAGCCAGTATCCAGCACGGGTTGATAAAGCTGAGCTGCGAGCAGGCACCGCCTCCCACCCAAGCGCTGCCGCTTTAAGCTGCAGTTCGGAGGGTGGCCAGGAGGACACAGACACATCCGGGTCAGGGTGGCCGCGTGGCACCGGGGGCCGCGGCGCCGGCTGCGTCCATGCCGCCGGCTGCGTCCACGCCGATGCCGCTCGCCTCTTGCCTCCAGAGATGCATCCAGCTCATCCTCCTGCCCGTTTATGTACTTGTCTACCTGGGCATATGGGACGCCCTCTATAAGAAAGTTTTTCCCTACATCATGGCCAAGCTTGCACCACGCTACAACCACAAGGTGCGCAAGCAAAAGCAAGAGCTTTTCAGCAACTTGGGACAATTTGCGGGCCCTTCGGGCCACGTCAGGCTGCTGGAAATTGGCACAGGCACCGGCACCAATTTCCAGTTCTACCCCGCAGGCTGCCGGCTCACATGCACCGACCCGAACCCCAACTTCGAGCAGTTCCTCCGCAAGAACCTCTCAGAGAACCCGCACCTGCAGCTGCAGCGTTCGCTGGTGGCGTCGGGGGAGGACCTGCGCCAAGTAGCGGCGGGCACTGTGGACGTGGTGGTGTGCACACTCGTGCTGTGCTCCGTCAGCAGCGTGGAGCGCGTCCTGTGCGAGGTCCTGCGGGTGCTCCGGCCGGTAAGCTGCGGCAGCRCCATGGGGGTGATCCTGCTCTCCCTTCCCACTTCCTTTCCCTGTCAAACCCTATTCCTTGAAACCTTTCCTGACASGCAAAAAGTGAATTTCTTCACTTTATCATGCTGTAGATCCCTGCAGACCCTTCTGCAAGGAGAGCATCTGCCTCATCTCGCACAGGCACCACAATCCAGTAGCACTTCTGGGCTGCACGGTGAACATTTGCAGGAGATTTCTTTGGTGCTGCTTCACTTTCAGGTGGAAGAACTGGTTCCTCCTGCTTTCCCTCTCCTCCTTAGTCCCTGCCCAGGGCACTGCATTGCTGGGGCCCTCAGGGACATTGCTCAAACAGGGCACCAGGGTGGTCTGCAAAAACTCTGAGACCAGAACTCTGTGGGGAGCATGAGTAGAGTGGGACCAGGTGACAATTATGGCAACAAAACGGTGGAAGCGAGAGCCACAAAGGGAGAGGAGCAGGGAGCAATGGGGATTCTAACATGGGTAAAAGATTAACCAGAATTTTGGTTTGCAGGTGCTTTGCACCTTCACGAGCCTTGCACCTTCACCTTCACCTGACCAGGAACTAGCACTGGCATCTAAGTGTAAAGTGTAAAACGCCACACTTCGACATACTTATTTCTCTTGCCAGTTACCTCAGAATAACTGAGCAGGGTTTAACTTTAACTTAAGGTCAATCATATCCACATGGTTAAATCTACGCAACAGGTCAGAACTTTCCTCTGTAAATAAGAATTCCCTCCCCACTTCCCTCCCCAAGAAAAGCCAGGACACTCCTGCAAAGCTGAACTGGGGAAGAGGGAATAAGATCACCCCCAACTGAGGAGGGGAGGGAAATACTGGCTCAGCTTGACTTCTCTATGGGGATCCATTAGGCTGCCTTTGCCGTGATGAAAAGGTTCACTTGCAACCCTGGATTTGCCTTTTATCTGCTGTTTCTGAACACTGAAAGCCACTGAACTCGCAAAAGATCCTCTTAAAAAGAGGGACAATGATAAGYGCTGAGGAGCTGCAGCCTCTCCCCTCCGGGACATGGGGTTGCAGCTCTCCAGGCTTCGTGCACAGTAAGAAATGAGTCCTTTTAATTGCTGGTACGCAGGGCAAGCAGCTTGGTTGAGCCCGTTTCAGAATCAAAACTCAGCGAAGTGGCTTGTCCAAGACGGTGCAGGGCAGCTGGGCAGAGATAAAAAACACGTGACAGCAATCCCCAACCATCGGCCCCTACTGCCTCTTGCAGAATTTCTAATTGCCCCTATCTGTAAATAAGGAATGAGCCAGTAAAAAAAAATACTACCTTGCGCACAGATGGAATGGGAGGCATGCAGAGATTTCACCGCTCAAACATGGATACACCCTGCACAATCTCTAGGAATGGAGACCACTCTGCAGGGAGGTGAAAAAAAGGCAGCCTGTTTGCTAAGTAGTAAGTAATAAATTTTGTCACACAGAGTGAAAGTCTTTTTTGTATCTTTTATGGCTTTGTTTTCCAGGGTGGAGCGTTTTACTTTTTGGAGCACGTGGCTGCGGACCGATCCAGCTGGACCTACTTCTGGCAAAAGGTCTGTGAGCCAGCCTGGAAGTGCTTTGGAGACGGCTGTTCCTTGAGCAGAGAGACGCAGAAAGATCTGGAGAAWGCCAGCTTCTCTGAGCTGAACCTGAGGCGCATACATGTCCCTCCAAGCTGGATTCCTGCCAGTCCTCATATCATTGGATACGCAGTAAAATAAATGGCCATGAGCACAGAAGGACACAGAGCCCCTTCAGCAGCTCTCTTCCTACTTTTTATGGAGGATTTTTCACTGGATAGTAGCCTTAAACTCATATACAGAACCTAGTACTCAGAATAAAAACCTGGAAAAACTTGATGAGCCTCCACAACTTGTTCAAGCAGGAATCACACTCTTCTATTTGTTAGGTAGGCTTCTGACAGAACTGTGGCATAAGGACCAAGTAAACTGGAAACACAGAGAACGTGTTTCACTGCAAAACAAAGTAAAGGAGTCACCACCCAGGAGCTGAGAAAGGGAAAAGGAAAAGAGGGAGCACAGCAGTGCCAACAAAGATAGAGAGCTAACGTTCTTCGAGTAGCAGAGACTATTACTCAACCCCTACGATTTCAGATTCAGGACACATACATAATAGATACAGCAACAGCACAAGCATTTTTCTTTGTGTCTTCCTATTGCAAAATACCCCTAGGAGCCAGCATTCCTCCTCCTGCACCAGTCGAGGCCTCCCTTACTGGGCTGTTTATTCAGGGCAGTGCCCATCACAGCACCAGTTTGTTCCCCATGGCTTCCCCTGTCCATGAGATGCCACTGCCATTAGCCAAAGTTTAACTCGCAACCTGTGAAGCCAAAGACAGAATTCCTCCTTATGCCGGGGGAAAGGTCTGATAAATCTGATGGCGGAAGTTTCATTTCACCTGCGAGATGGTCACTGCTGAACCCTGTAGGCTCTTACAGCCCTTTCAATGCACYCTGCTAAGTTAAACCTATGCTTAAACTCTTCATACTCTACTCTCCCTTGGGTCCAGATTTCACCTTTAAGGTGTCAAATCTTTCTTAAAAGCCACACGTTTCATTAGGAGCATTTTCCAGATAAACTCCCCCAGGACACCAAGAGGAGGCACTGCTCTCTTGGCCACTCTTTAGTAGTTCTCTTTGATTTCCCAYAGTAAAGCACCTAAGCATTAACACCTAGAGCAAACCATTTTTAATGAAAGACTGCCCATTTTGTGCTCCACACACCTCCAACCAGTCTACACGGAACGGACACCTGAAGTACTTCGCACTGTTCAGGCTTGTTTCTCTAAGGCAGTTACACCACGGTGAAGCCAGGGCAACCAAGGCAATCATAAAGCAGTTCAGTAACGCTGCTTTTCTGGGCTGGCCACTTTATTTGCTTCTTACCACCAGAGGGAGGCGGCACCAACTCGGACAATGAGGCTCCCTCTCGCTCAGCGGACAAACAAACCTCTCCAGGGCAGCTCTTGACCGAAGTGTTTGAACGTGGTCTCTTAAAGCCCAGCAGTGCAAACAGCTCCCTGCCCCATTCCTGGGATCACTCAAGGGTGCAGCTAAACCCCGCGGCCAATCTGCACTGCTACTACTAACCCCTGTGGAAAAACACCTGCGGTGGCAAAGTTTTACAAAAGGCATTTAGCATAAAATGGACTGTAYAGTGTCAGCTCAGACTTAATAAAAGCTATTAGAGACAGTGACTACTGAATGAATCTATTGTTTTACCTCTGGTCCATGATTTCTTTCAAAGATCTGAAAGGTAACTGAGAAAAGCAAGTTTATTCACCACATGACACACACCATGACCACACTCCAAAATGTTTTAGATTCCCACAAAGTGCCAAGACTGAAAACAGCTGCTGTAGAGAAAGCATCCAGCGAGCAGCTGACTCGCTCACCCAGCTACTTCGGATACATAACACAAGGTGGTAAAAATCTTAAATATATGTTTTAACCAAAATATGAATGCAACAAAGTGACCTGGAGTTCAGATCAACTTCCCACCACTCACTGAAAACAAGATACGGTTTCTTTAAGAGCTACAAAGTGTAATCTGAAACTGCTGAACACCAGATTAGGGCGAGTGATGACAATTTGCCAAAAGTTAAGTACAAAGATGTACTGTCCAGTTTATCTAGGTTACTTAACAGACTGGCAGCTCCTTTTCTGCCAGAGCTGGGACGCAACAGTAACCATTTGGCAAGCAGGGTTGTTTTCCCCTTTCTCACCTGTGACCGGACTTTAAAATCATCTTTGGAGAAAAGTCCACTCGATCAATACGACGAGTGGCACGTCAGGAGGAACGCAGCAAGTACACAAACGCTGCTCCACGCTTCAAGGGCTCCGACACGCAGAGAGCTCTGTGCGGCACAGACCCTCTGCTCGCGCGCTGGCCACGATGGACACCGGCGTTCTCCTCTTGCGYGCCTGCCTCGCGCTGCTCGCCATGCCCATCTACCTGCTGTCCTTCCTGGGAATATGGAAGCCTTTCTGCAAGAAAGTATTTTTCCCTTACTTCCTCCAGAAGCTTTCTGTAATTCACAACAGGAAAACACACAAGCAGAAGCAAGAATTATTTCGTAACCTGCCCGAGTTTGCGAGTGCTTCGGGAGGAGTGAAGCTGCTGGAGATCGGGACCGGCTGCGGCGCTAACTTCCAGTACTACCCACCAGGCTGCAGAGTGACATGCACCGACATCAACCCTCACTTCCAGCAGAGCCTGACACAAAACATGAAGCAGAACCAGCACCTCCACTACGAGCGTTTCTTAGTAGCTGCAGCAGAAGATCTGAGCCAGGTGCCCAGCGGCTCTGTGGACGCGGTCGTTTGCACTTTAGTCCTCTGCTCCGTGCTGGACGTAGACAGGGCGTTGAGAGAAGTTATGCGAGTGCTCAGACCCGTGAGTATTTGAAGAAGTTTTATGTTATTTCTTTTATCAGTTTTCACAGAGGCACCACACCAAAGCAAAAAGTCGCCTTTGAGCTTACAAGYCAAACCTTGTTTATTTGCACAGTAAAATGAGCTTTGCAACCACCTTGCAATGCTAAATGGTGCAAAGCAGTAGAACAGACTGGGGAGCCTGTCTTAGCTCAGCAAGAAAAGTAACACAGTAAGTAGAGCTGCCACACACCAGATTTTCTTTTGGGCAGAAGGGGGAAGCTCTCTGATCAAGCCTGAAAGTCTGTGTTTTAAATAAACTGCTTTAACCTCTTAGAACCCTCCTGTATGACTAAAGCATCTAATTAAATGCCTTTATTACCTGCACTGTCCCATACGAATTAGAGATTCAAAAAAGACTTTTTCCTTTTTTTTTTTTTTTTTTTTTCCTTTCCTCCAATAGAACTTCAGCCTTTAAAATGTTATTTTCAGCACGATCCTTTGGGTTGCCAAAAACCCAGGGAGTTCTAGGAGGGTTTATACATTTCACCTAGTTTCTTCTGAAGCGTGTCATGCCAGCGACTATAATTTAAACAATAAGGCAAAGAACAAGCTATTGCTATAAGAACAAAGGGATCAAACAAGCACATCTTTCATCCTCTCAGAATAAGYGTTTTGAACCCCTTCGAGTTTCCTGCTTGCATTAATTCCAACTGACACTACAGAAGGGAAAAAAAAGCTGGCAGGAAAGGAGTAGAAAGATGGTGTYGAAGTAAGCGAGCTGCATTTCCCATGCACTGAACCGCGTTTGAAAAAAGGTGTGTTGGGGAGGGAGGGCGGCGTCTGCTGCGTGCACATTCCTCCCGTGATATTCTAAGACAACTTTGCTTCCCCAGGGCGGCGTTTTCTATTTCCTGGATCACGTTGCTGCCGATCGCTCTAGCTGGAGGTACTTCTGGCAGCAGAGCTGCTTTCCAACTTGGAAACTCGTGTTTGATGGGTGCTGCCTAACAAGAGAGATATGGAAAAACCTAGAACAGGCCAACTTCTCTGAACTGAAATTGCAACACATTAGTGTTCCTCTGGCCGGGACACCTATCAAGCCACATATTATTGGATATGCTGTGAAGTAATTCACGTTGCACCATAGCTTTCTCCCCTTGACATAGTCAAAGCAGCAAAATGGTATATGCTAACCTAAATAGCAACATCCACATCAACATGATTAAACTTCATCTATCTTTATGTTTCTGATTTAAACATCAAATGAGGAAGAGCTTCAGCTTTCTTAAAAATCTTGAAATAATTATATTGATCACAGGCTTTACAAGCAAAGAATCAGAAAGAATCAATTAACAAAAATAAAGCAGAYTGACCTGGGCATATGCTCAGCCTTGGCTGGACTGCTTTTTGAGACCAGGCGCCAGAATCCCCCAGGCAGCATGCAGCTTGAGGAAGGCTTCGCTATCACGGGGTAGCCATAGGCACAAGCACACGCACACACTCCTACCCCTCCGTAACTTACCTGCAGTTTTGAAACCAAGCTGATACGCTACAATAGCAGCAAAGAGAAAAATAATAATAATTACCTCCATACTGCAGGAAGCCTCGGGTGATGGGATGCAGGGGATTCCTCTGGGCACTCCCAGGCCAATTCCTGCTGCAGAGGAGCTGGCAGAGCGCAGCATGGTGSCACGGCCAAGGAGGGGTCACTCAGGGATGACATCGGGACAAGCCACCACACTGGCAGGCTGCTTCCCATCCTGCCAGCCCTGCTCCTTCCCCTTTCTCCACACTCTGCTGTCACAACTTGCTCCCAACACTTAAAGCTGCCAGGCAGCCATGAGGCCCTCAGAGGCAACTGTTGCCTAAGCCACAAATACCCACAGGCAGCCAGACCAGAGAGACTCCCATTAAAAGACAGGCATCTCAGTATTATATGCCCACTCACTCAGGCAGAGCTGCAGAGCCCAGCTGAGAGGCTGCAGAGCAGGCGGCGCAAAACCAAAATGTCGCCCCCTCAAGCACCGCGCGGCCATTAGCGGCCGTTAGCACGTCACGTGCCCCACCACAGCGCCGCCGCCATTTTGTCCCGTCGAGGCAGGATGCGGTCGAGGCTCCCCGTTGCCTCGCTGCTGCTGCCGCTCCTGGCGGGCACTGTGCCCGGTGTCCCGGACCCCTGGACCTCCACGGAAGGTAGCACCCCTCCGCCGGGCGCTGAGGGAGAGCAGTGGGCGTCGAAGCGGCGGGCGCGGGCAGGTCGGGGCGCGGCGGCGCCTCGGCTGCCGCGCGGGGGGGACTACACTTCCCGTGAGCCCCCGCGCGGCGGCGGGAAGCTCCACCCGGGCGGGCGCCATGAAGGTGCACTCGCCTCAGAGTGGGAGGGAGGGGAAAAACACGCAGGGGATGGCCTGCATCCGGAGMATATCCCCGAGGAAATAATAAATACCACCAGTTTTACCTCAAAAAGCGATGCTGCCAGCTGGCTGAAGCTGCCCTTCTGTGTGAYGGAGGTGCTGCTGCTCTCTGTTTTGCAGAATGCGGAAAGCAGCTGCTCTCGGATCCGCTCTGGGGCACGCGGATCGTGGGCGGCCACGAGGCGCCGGTGGGAGCCTGGCCGTGGCTCGTGAGCCTCCAAGTCCACCAAATTGGGCTGAGCTTTAAGCATGTGTGTGGTGGAGCTCTGGTTAGTGAGAATTGGGTGCTGACAGCCGCTCACTGTGTGTTGCAGAGGAGGTAYGTGTGCGTCCATTACTTCATTTATCAAGCACAAGATGGGCACAGAATGGAGAAGCATCAGCTTTAGAAGCACATAGTTTGATTTGAAATGGCTGTATCTGGAAAAAAAAATCAATGAAATGGAGTCCTGCTAATGTAGATAAGGCAGAAGCAAATTATCTAACTCCTGTCTACTGAAATGCCTGTAGGTGGTAACAGAAGACCCCAAACACCCTTTACTTTTCTGYAGCTGCCATGCTGTTTAACTTTATAGGCCTTATACCTAGAACAATTCTGCTGTATTTGGGTCATGTACCAACTGTTGTCTTTACTGTAGCCTTTCTAACAGTTGAAAAGTGCTCATGTTTGTTGATGCAAGCTGATAGTGATTGCGTTGCCCTTGTTGACATAACTGTGAGGGAACCTGAGCGTCCAAAATCCCTCTAAACTTGGAAACGTTAACCATCGTAACCAGTTTTTACTGTAACCATCTGCCAGGAGTTCGTTAGATCTGCGCTTTGTTTCTGTAGTGCACTTCCACAAGCATGGATCTGTAGACACATTTTAATAGAAATAATCAACGTTGTTTTTATCTCATACTAAAGAATTTTGGATATTAGTCTGAATTTTATAGCCTGCCCCATTCTCCATTACAGGTCAAATTCAATTACTGTTTAATATCACCCCCACCTCCAACAGGCTTGTAGAGGAACTAGGTCTGAATGACTCTGATCCTGCTTCTAAATTTAATATTAAGTTGATGTTAATATTTGTAGCTTCCAGTTACTGGATTTTCTGAATCCAGACACATGCACTATTTTTACAAGCACCATGGATACAATCCTTTTTTGTTTTTTTTTTTTTTTTTTAT